ACCCTCACATTCCCACAGGACACTTTAGTTAGTACTGTATTCACACATTGTATGCAGATTAGTTAGGTACATCGCATTCCTTTCTTCAACCAACCTTTCAAGGTTGTGTGAGCACCGTGACATTATTAATATTTGTTATGTTTTTTCGCAATCAGGTTCCATGGATATACGTTGGCATGTGTTTCAGCAGTTTTTGTTGGCACAATGAAGACCACTGGAGTTATTCCATCAACTATATGCACTGGTTAGCAGATTGATATATATAAAGAGAGAGTGGTTTTCAACTGAGTGTCCAGAAACAAAAGGAGAACCAGTTACTTGGCAATTAGACTACTTGGTCAATCTCAGATGGTAGCAAAACCAATTGAAGTAATTGCCTGATTACTTCCAACACTCAATTGGAAACTGCTCTATGTTTTATGTAAAATAACTAAAAGGATTGCTACTAAGGCTGTTATTAAGCCTTGTAGGGGTGAATCTATGAAGAAAGGGGCGGCTATGACGTCAAGATAGTATTTAGAAAATTAATATGTTTTGAAGTTTGGACTGTGATCTTGTAGATGGGAATGTACTGGAAGTGAGCTGATCAATATAATCACTCTCATATAGAGCTGCATTCTTGAAAATTGAGTGTTCTAAAATCAAACCTGAAGTAGTCACTTGTTTGAGCCAATGTCAAAGAACATCGACAATTCAGTTAACCAGTCAAAACCCAAAATAAATCCATGTAGCTGAGGTGAAGAATGGGAAACCTTGTGTGAGCGAGGTGTTGGTTTTGGTTTTACTTCTGATTGGATGAGAAAGTGGTGCGAGTTTTAAGCCAATCGTGTAGCATGGTAAAAACTGCTCTATGGATCTAATAAACATGCTGCTTTAAGCATATTTCATGTCAACCACAGTGGTGAACACGATTTCTGATTCAACCAATCTGATTTTCACACACAGTTATATAACTAACTATCCCTATTGTAGCTCCAAAGTTTGTTCCTTTGTTTTCCAGGGGAGAGCCAAAGACATGGTATGGTGTACCAGGAGATAACGCTGAAGATTTTGAGCGCTCTATGAAGGAAGCAGCTCCAGAACTCTTTGAAGCGCAGCCTGATCTTCTTCATCAACTTGTCACCATTATTAACCCTAATGCGCTCACCGCCAAGGGTGTACCTGTGGTGAGAACCAATCAATATGCGGGAGAGTTTGTGGTCACGTTTCCCAGGGCGTATCATGCTGGATTTAACCATGGTCTCAATTTAGCGGAGGCTGTCAATTTTGCCACAGCAGACTGGGTAGGTAGTTGATTCTTTGTTGGTGCTGTTGCACAATAAAAAATTAATTCGAAAACCATTTAGTTGATAAAGTCAAGAAATTATGATGTTATAGGAGATAAAGAAAGAAGACGCTTCTCGAAGTTTTAGGTCTGTACGTTTTCCCAATCTTCAGATATTCGTCGAAATATTTTGCACAAATTTACAGAGCCCAGTACTACAATTCACCTCCTAGCTAGCCAATCAGAATGTGCAGAAAGCACTATTCACTTGTGTAGTATAAACAGACAGACTCTATTACTGGTGAATTTTCATTGTACCAAGCTGGCACAGATTCGGAGACAGTAGATTTGAGCTTTAGGAAAATTATGCCAAAGTTTACCTCTTATACTGGACTTTCTATCAATTTTCTAGCTTCCTATTGGGCGCAAGTGTATTCAACACTACCGTGAGATGAGTAGAAATCCTGTATTTTCTCATGAAGAGCTGGTTTGTAAGATGGCTGCAGACCCAGACGGTTTAGATTTGGACCTGGCCAAAGCAGTCTACAGTGAGATGTTGGCTGTTGTAGAACAAGAGGCCAACAGAAGGCACAGATTGACTAAAATGGTAGGTTTAGGTTGCAACAGTTGTTTTGAAGAACCACATTACAAGTCATTTCAGCAATCAGTGATTTTACCCATCAACAAACAGTTGCACATGAAAATACTTCAAAGTGAAAGAGCTTAGTTGTTTTGCAACTGTAGAGTTCACTTTACCTCATCAGTCGTGGATCCATAAAAGTTCTTCCAATCATTTTATTTTGCCAGATTTACAAGAAAAAAAAACAGATGACCAATTTACTAAAATCCATCAACTCTTATTTTTCACAATGACTCAAACCCATTAAAATCAAAATCCAAAACGTTTCCAGGGGAAGCATGGTCCCATCTGGACTCCCTAGAGGATTGTGCCTTTGGTGCTTGATGTTTTGGAAATCATTTACCATTTATTCTAGATCACACCCATAATACTTACATCATGCTTACTCTTGAAACAGGGTATCCCAGAGTTTGAACGAGGTGAAGCCTTTGAGTTGTTACCAGATGATGAGCGACAGTGTAATGTGTGCAAAACTACTTGCTTTCTGTCGGCTGTTCAGTGTCCCTGTAATCCAGGTAGGTTTTTGCAAGTTTGGCCGCTGCGCTTTTTCTTCTTTACTAGAGTTCTCTGAAATCCCGCTGCATTTGCAAGTGGGGGCGGGATTGTTAGGTCTAATCTGGCAAATCTAATCACTGTTTTATTTGTCTGGTTTTGAATTGAGTGTCAAAAAACCAAAACCAAAGTAATCACTCTAGCCAATCACAAGGACACGGACAATACAGTGAACCAATCAAAACTGAAAGTAATAACATGTAGCTGATGCAAAGTGCTGGAAACTGAGTACCAGTGAGTCAGGATTGGTTTTGGTTTGATATGAAAAAGTGGCACGAGCTTCCCAAGCCAATCGTGCAACGTAGTTGATGCAAAACCAATTACTTTTGGAGACTCGAATGAAAACTGCCCTAAACTAACAGTACGTTATAATTTGTGTTTTCATTTGTTCTAGGAAAACTGATCTGTCTTGACTGTGTCACAGAGCTGTGCCCTTGCGAAGCTACTGAAAAGAGCTTGAGGTAATTCTTAGAATAATAATTTTTGCTCATGTTGTACAATATATTCAATATCCAAAGTTTTCATGTCAAACCTTGACTCACAGGCTGATCATGTGCATTGTAATCTGTATACCAACAGATATCGATACACTCTTCAAGAGCTGCCTTCCATGCTTCTACGCTTAAAGAGAAGAGCTGATTCATTTGACAACTGGGCTACTGAAGTTAAGAGATCTTTAGATCCGTCGGATCCCAAAGTTGGTGAGTTAGTAAAGGAGTTTCTTTAATTATTGTTGGTCACCACACTAGTCGTGTAGGTGATGATTTTCAATTTTCTCATTACCTCTCTACTAGGTAATGTATAGGTATGGTTGGGAGAAATCACAAATTGATCACTCTGCTTCTTTACAGATGTATCAGAGCTGAAGGACCTGGTGACCACAGCAGAACAGAGCCAGTTTCCTGACTGTGATCTCTTCCAGCAACTTAAGGCTGCTGTAACTGAAGCCGAACGCTGTGCGAGTGTCGCTCTGCAGCTGGTCAGCAGGAAACACAGGACAAGACCCCATGGTGGAGCAGACACAGTACCAGTCACTCGCCTGAGTCTTGATGAACTACAAGGGTTCATGCAACAACTGCAGAACTTGCCTTGTGTGGTCAGGGAAGCAGAGCTCGTACAAGTGAGTATAGGGTCTATGTAGCGAGATTCTTGTCACAAATAGATACAACACATACTGCTTAGTTTATGTCTTTTTCGTTTAGTTTCTAACAATTAATGAAAGGTTTCAGGCCGTTGTACGCTGGATTTAGAGTTTATATGTAACAGAGCAGCCTCAAGTAGCATGACACAAGTTTCTGAAACACTCATCACCCTCTTCTCAGTGTTGGTTAGAAGAAAGGGCATGTATTCGCTACTTCCAGAAATTCAAAGTGAAAGTGTTCAAAGAAAGGAGAGTGCTGTGATCAAGACTACAGCTCCATTAATGTTATAGTGTCCTTCGCATCTGTTACTTGGAACGTCACGCAGCTCGCATTGCGTCACCGCTAAAGTAACGGATATGAACGAGACTACCTCACGATTGGCTTAAATGTTTTTTTAATGCTGCAGGAACTAATGTGTTTCTTGGAACGTCACGCAACCTTCACAGAAGCATTGCGTGATGCGTGACCTCTAAAGTACGAGATATGATTGAGACTACCTCAATAATGGTTTTACCGTTTTTGTTTTTGTCTTTTTTTTTAAATGCTACAGGAATTAATGACGCACGTGGAAAGCTTCCAGTGTGAAGCTCAGAAAGTGATACAAAGTGGAACAACTGATGTGGCTCAACTTCAGCAACTCCTGGACAATGGTCACACACTGGATGTTGACTTACCAGAGATACCCAAACTGAAACAGGTTTGAACAGAGTGCTACCAACCAGTTTTCAGCTGATCAGCTAAGCCTTGTTGACACGAGCGACATACCGGCTGATAATGACACAACGACGTGCGTGTAATCGCTTATGTCGCAATGTGAACATCGACATCAAAGCATAAGGAAAAGATCACTGTTTTTTCCCTAATACTGTGTTTATGCTGTTATGTTGCTATTATGTCATTATGTCAGGATGTTCACACTGCAAACATAACGACATAACGTCCATCGTATTTCGTTACGTTTATGTCGTTACGTCGATATGTGGCCAGTCTGAACTAGCTCATACAAAACCTAGGAAGCCTTTTTGTTTGGGCTTCATTAGCGAGAGCAAATTTTCTGTTACATTGGTGTATGAATCATTCAAAGAATCGCACTAGCCAACATCATGTGGAATTGCATTTTGTTGTTCGTGTTGCAGGAATTAAGGCTGGCCAAGTGGTTGGAGCAGGTCAATATTACCCTGGCCAACACAGAAGAGGTTTCATTTGATACACTACAAGAACTGCTCGAGACTGGAAACTCACTTCCACAGAAAACCGGTATGCTAGATAGCGCGTTATTGTTGTCTCTCTCCCATCTTGCGCGAGAAACCCGCGTTTGCGCGCGAGGCTCACACGAAATGCTTGGTTGGGGAATGTAGGAGAGTTATTTCTCTGTAGTAAACATTGGCTGTAAGCTATATAGAAAAGAAAAGTGAACAAATATGGACGTGATCTTCTGAAGTATTACCCGAGGGACGTGGACATGGGATGATTTTTTTTGCCAGGGGGGTGGAGGGTGGTGGTACGTATTGACGTCTATTTGCGAGTGTGATCCGCAAACGTTTTGCAGTGGCCGAGAACTAACGTTGCACATGCGTATATACCTTATTGCAGTTTTTTCTTTCGTTAGCCATTGAGAAAGCAGTCAGCGAACTCCGTGGTCTTGTAGCTTTGGGTGAACGCTGGGAAGAAAAGGCGAAACTATGTCTTCAAGCGAGGTAATATCCAGTTAAGTCACTGATAAACTTTGATTGGCAAGAATGAAACAGAAAAGCAGATGTGTTTTTTAATCGGAAAATAGGATAACAAAGAAGAACCGGAATCTAGTTATCTCTGTTTAAACACTTAACAGGATTACTGTTGTTTTTTTGTTTTCCTTTATTCTTAGTACAGCGTCGCAGACATGCTCTCCTAGCTTTAGAAAGATAATCTTTTTTCTGGGGTTTCCTCGCGAAAGTCTTCTTGGCGATGAACCCTCCAGAAAATATCTGTAAAGGATTCTGAAAGAAGATACTGCTAACTGCCCCGTTCCTTGTTGTATTACAGGTGTTTACCCTTTGTTGTGAAAGCGTTATGTTGGGTTGTCACGCCATAACGCTTTGGGTAGCGATACTGCGTGACAGCCATGAACTTTGAAGTTGTCACACAAAGCCAGGAATCATGGTAGTTGTATTAATCAACACAAATAGCCAGTCCAAGATGATGAATACAACTACCATAACTTCCTGCAGACACGTCTCATAGAGGGATTTGTCCATTATAGTTGTATTTTTAAAGCTCGTTATGTTTGGATTATCTTTGACGCGATCTTGTGAATTTTTTTCTCTTTTTAAACAGACCCCGTCACGTAATGGCCACAGTTGAAGCAATAGTAAAAGAGGCATCCCGTGTTCCTTTATACCTTCCAAATGTGAGTGCGCTCAAAGAAGCGCTCCGCAAAGCTCGAGAATGGTCTGAGAAGGTCGATCAAGTTCAGGTAAGACGACTCTGACTACAGCCCCAGGGGAAGGGGGATCCCACGGGTAAAGGTCGGGGGTGCTCGTCGTCTCACTTATGGGTGTAAAGCAAAGATGTTAGTCTCACTTAGGGTGTTCAGGACGAAACGCCTTTATTTTAGCTGAGAAGGTATCTTTTATGGTGCACTCGAAGAAATAATTAAGAAACGCTTTTGTTTCCGTTTTAAGTTGTATCTTTTAGGGGTCAAATAAAGCTCGAGTCAAGCCCAGTTTGTTCTCCTTCAGGGGTTTAATGCAAATGTTTCGAGAAGCATCCCCAACCGTTTTACATGGGAGTTCCCCGCCGTGGGAGAGAGGGGGTTGGGAGGGGGGAGGGTGGGGGGCTCCACAATACTTAACCCGCGTTGCAAGCGTACCGGGAACACTTGGTACGCAGACTATGCTACAACAACCTCTGTACACACTTCAAAACCAAAAGGATTATGTACAGTGTAACTGCGTTGTAACGAACATTTTTGGCTCACGCTTACCATTTCTGATCTGGCCCCAGAATGATGATTACTATCCGTATCTTGATGTGCTGGAGGCCCTGGTCATGCGAGGAAGGCCCATTCCCGTGCGCCTAGAACAGCTCCCTCAAATGGAGTCCCAAGTGGCTGCAGCGCGCGCTTGGAGGGACCGTGCGGCAAGGACATTTCTCAAGAAGAATTCTTCAGCTACGCTCTTGGAGGTAAGTGTTTGTAAACAAGCTATTGGTGAACTCGTTCTGCAACCATAGTTGCTTCAAAGCAAGTAAGGAGCTACTAGATTTGAGTGGGTGTTCAAGTTTAGTAGTATCAGTATTTTAACCGGAAAAAAACATTGAGCGGACTAGTGCTTAGATAGTATTAAGGACAGTCCTCCACTGTTTACAACGTGGCGAGTGTATTTTCATTTTATGCGATGTCGAAAAATAGTTTGAAATGGCTTGGAACTGGTATCGATATGTGTCTGGACGAGTTTTAGAATTCACAAACTCCGAAAGAACATTTTCAAAATTTTTACAAGAGAATACCTCTCATCTCCCTATTAATAAAATTTCCTGTAGCGCGTCCTCGCAGTCAAATATTCTTCAACCGTCTAACTTGGTTGTTTTTTTTGTGTGTGGCTTTTGTGTTTTCAGATCTTATCCCCTCGCAAGGACGTCGGAATGTACAAAGCATGTCCAAAGCCTCGTGGAAGCAAAAAGCGCGAAAAAGCAGAAAAAGAAAAAATCGAAAAGGAACGAGAAGTTATAATAGAACTAGTGGCGTTGGATGAATACATTGGCAGAGATCCTGCACTGCAGATCGCTGAATTTCGTGAAGCAGAAAGCAAAGAAATCCAAACTATGCGGCAATTACGCCAAGTCAATATTACACGTCAAAAGGAAGAAGACAGGAAACGTCAGCTTGGCGAAAGCCTAGACGGACAGTACTGCATATGTCGGCGGGGACCGGACGGGTTTATGCTGCAGTGTGAGCTCTGTAAAGAGTGGTATCATGGTTCCTGTGTCCCTCTACCTCGCACCCAGGGTGGTAAATCGATGGGCAAGGGCTCCGCCGCGCTGGAAGCGGCTAAGGAGCTTAAATATCTGTGCCCGTTGTGCTCAAGATCGAGGAGACCGCGTCTAGAAACAATCCTGTCTCTGCTGGTATCGCTACAGAAGCTTCCTGTCCGCCTTCCCGAGGGTGAGGCCCTTCAGTTCCTTACTGAAAGAGCAATGAACTGGCAAGATCGCTCTAGGCAGTTTCTTGCCGATGAAGATGTTGTGGCGCTTCTCACGTTTCTTAGTAGAACTTCAGCTTCGTGGCCGCATGGAGTGAGCGCAGAAAACTTGTCCGCATCAGCTGCCCTGCTTCGGCTGGCGCAAGTTGGACCCGAGGAGGAGGATTCGGAGAAATCTGCTTCGGGCGATGTGTCGGTCACGGACGATTCTGGCAACAGTGCAACGGCCGAAGTAAGACCGACTTTATCCGAAGAAAAACGACGGCAAGCCGAACAGCTTATGATGGAGGGAGATTTGTTGGAGGTGTCGCTAGACGAAACCGAACAGCTTTGGAAGGTGCTGCTTAGTCAGAAAACCCAGGAAGAGCAAGAAACACAGGTACTTTCTGAAAACGTCGTTTGCTTAAGTCTAGTGCAGGACTTGAAGGCACTCAAGTTTCGTATCTTTTTGAAAATTGACCCTTCCCGCGTTCCAACAAACAATGGCGCCGAGTCGAGCTCAGGGTTGACAAAAATAAAGCAAATGTATGAAAATGTCGACCCCAACCTCGCTCTGGTACTATTGTTCGTACGCACTGAAGTGGAATACGGAGGTTTTAGTTTCTTATCGATCCATGAGAAAAGCGCATCTGAACTCGCCAACACAGTCAGTTGTTACAGCCTGCTGTGACAAGGACGTGTTATGTTACCTGACAGCCTTGTTACCTGGCAACTGTTTCGTAGCAACTGTAGCGTGGAGGACTTAACTTGCCAACTGGGATCTATCAGGCTACATGTTTTGTAGGTACATTGTACTTAATTAAAATGTTGATTTTATTTCTTTTTTGCAGCTTTTTGAGGCAAAGGTAGACAAAGAAAAAGTCAAAAGAAAGCGAAAGAAAAAAGACAACGAAGACAAAGAAAAGCCAGTGAGAAGAGCGTCGAACGCGAGCAGCGCCAATTCTGCTGCAGCGGCAAATGAAATACCCAAGAAACGGCGCCGAAAGGACAAAGATAAAGTTACTAAAGTGAAACAGGAAGAAATCGTTAATGTTGAAGAGGACGAAGACGATGATGATGATGACGATGAAATATGTGCAGCCGCGTCGTGCTCAAGACCGCAGGGAGACGAAGTCGGGTGGGTACAGTGTGACATCTGTGAGAAATGGTACCACCTTGCATGTGTCGGTCTGAGCCCAGAGCGCGCGGAAGCCATGGATTCTTACAATTGTCGACTGTGTGTCGGTGGGAGTGGAGGAGGAGGCTCGTCTACTAACTCGGCTGTAGGAACACCCCCTGCGGCGTCACCCGAATCGGAGAACATCGACGTGGATGGGACCACGCCCACCTCACCCACTCCCCCTGTCTCTATTGCGGACGTAGAAGTGACTGAGTCCGCGCAACAGCAAGAACAGGAGACAGCGGAAACTACTCGTGACCATGGCAACAGCGATGCGGTGATGCGCCCAGTTACCACGATCGATTTGTGTTCGGACGACGAGAGCACGCACGAAGACATAGCGGCCGATGAGAACGTAGTCGATGTTGAAATCGGAAACACAGTCTGAGTCGTGACTGGAACAATTTGAATCCAACTTTCGCCTACTTGAAGTTCGCGATCGTACGCTAATTGATTGACATGAATATTTTTTGCGGGAATTCCTTTGACCAAGCCCGATCTCAGGGATTCGGGGGGCTTTTTGTAATAATATTTGTTATTGCATCTGAAGACAAGTTATTCACGTCGTTTAGATCAAATTTGGGTAACTCCAAGTTTTGTCACAGTTCTCAGCTCGCTGCCAAGATAAATTTATTGATGCATAGCTGAGAAAATCTCTGGCAGTTTTGCAAATAGTAGTTGCGCTTCAGAGATAAAGTAATTTAATGATTAAAAACAAAACAAAACAAAATAAAACCAAAAAAAAAAACTCGACAAGACAGCAAGTTTCCGTTTTTGCTCAATCTTCGTCACAGTCGAGAGATTCCGATTGGTTAACAACCAATCAGAAAGCGGCACGAGACATTACGAGCGTCCACGAGAGTGCCGACAGTTAATTGCCGGGTTGTTTAACGAACAGGCTAGTTGTTCACGTGACTCAGTATTGTAGCGGCAGCTTTGCAAATACGACAACAAAAAGAAAAGTCAGAGATTCCAAGTGGTTTAAAAAGATCAAAAACTAATGGGTTTTGTTAGACCGTGTTTCTGTAATAGTACTGTAAATTTGATTTATTATCTCAAAGGATTTTCACCATCACAATCTTTTATTACTCGAGGTACTCTGGAACTTTCAGCCCTGATATCAGGCCGCACATTCTCCTTACAGGTCTGTACACAATTCTTTTCTGCGAGTTTGGAGAATTTTCTACTTTATTAGGACATGAATTATGGATCGATTACTTCGTGTGGTTGATCTCACTAAAAGCTGAAAGGATGCAAAGGTTGAAAGACAGCTACAGGCGTTATTGATCCCTGTAATTCGTAAATTTTCTTGCGACGTAAATCATTGTAAATTAAATTCCTCGTAACAACCTGTTTACACCCCTGTCTAGTTTTTGGAGTCGACCTCAAATTTACCGAGGGTTCGTAATTTTTTGTTGCAGATTTAATACCAACAGATTTAGCTTATTTATAGCCTTGTATATAAGCCATCTATAATCAATTGTAAATTTACCTCGCCTGCAGTTTGTATGTCTTGTCGTTGTGGTTCACCTCCATATTTCATTAAGTGCATCTTGAACACATTCCGTTCACGAGCTTGGAATCATACTGTCTTCTAGAATTTGAACTGGTTAGTTGATAATTTGCCGCCTCCAAATCCGCATAGAATCGTTCATGAGTATTTATCGTCTTGTGAATAAACGCCTGAAGCGCGAATAAAAAGAATAGTTTGAAAAAGGTGTCTTGTTTTTGATCATCTGAGACTAAAATATTCAACATGTAT